GTGTGTGTGTGTGTCATGCAGAGAGATGGTTAAGTGAGCACATCTGTACTCTCCAGTTTGCTGATGCTGTAGCTTTCTCTCCTAAATGAATCTGATGGGGACACACAATGACAGGCTGTGGCGCACACATTCTGCTGCACTGCTTGTACATGATATATTGCTCCAGCTCATTGTGTCAATCCCATCTGTGCACCACATGTATACTGTAGATTTATACTATCTCACCTAAAGTGGCATCTTCTAGTCATTATGGTCAGAACACAGGTTAACATTGAAATTGGATGACTGAAAGGCCCCTGTTTTACATTGTAAAAGCTCATTTCTACTGCCTATTTGTATGAAAAGAGATTTGTCCATTTCAAACAGTGTAACTGTTAATACCCACATACTTCCATGCATCTTTTATGTTGACATGGTTGTTAAGCAATAGCAATACATCCCCTAGGGGGCAGATCAGTCAAGAGTAAAGTTTCTCAGACAACAAACAGATAATGTACCATCTAAGAAAGAGGCAAAAGTGGATGTTTGTCCTTGAGCCAGGGCCAAGTAACATCATATAGACCCCTGTAGTTTCTTTCCAACTTGCAACCTCTCTCCTCAAAAAGCACCACTATTGTTAAAGTTTCTTCCTTATCATATTTTAGCTATTGGCTACTTGGCCTCCCAACAATTTCAGCTGGTAGTGCTCTGTTTCTCCTGCATCCTGAAGACAAGTATGATTGAATTGAGCAAAGAGACGGCTCTGGTTTCTGTACACGTATCTAGCATTGAGCATAAATGAGCCTTAAACTATTCTGTGATTGTACTTGACAGTGAAATGTGTAGGGCAAAGAGACCTTCTCCTGCAGTAATCAGTAAGGTACCACGGAAAAATTGTGAAAATACTAATGCTGCAGCCCCCCTCCTTTTTTTTCTGCCTACCTCATTTTTCATTCTTTGCATTCTTGTTTCTCATTTTCTGCCTCTCAACTGCTTTTCTGTCAGGATTAAATATCTTTCTGGAATCTCTGTCACTTATCCACGGTGGCTCATTGTGTGGAGCCCTGACTTAAAGTTTGATCTTCGCCTTCTGCTTTTCTTTGTTCTTCTTTCATTCTCGGTTGAAACTTCTCTTAGAAAGCAGAAATGCTCTAAATAGATAAAATGTTGTTACATTCTCTGCGTAGTTTTGCACTGGTGCAAGGCCGATGGGTCATATTCCCTGTTAATGCATTCATCCTCCTACTAGCTATACAGTGTATACACTGTATTAGATAAAAGCATTTACTGTATGGAATCCACTATAATCCAAATTACTTTTCACATATCTTATTCAGGTAGCATATTGGAATTGTAAAACCAGTATAATCATTTGTCCTTGTGGAGCCAAAAGTACCACTTTGGTGTACTCCACATCAGAGGACTTTATCTGTAGCGACACTGAATTCTGCTCAGTCTGAACAGAGTCAATAGAACTATGGTTGCCTGGCCTGGAGCCAAGCAAGAGACTAGCATTTGTTGTTTTTGGATTTTTCAGTTTCATTATGAGCTAACAGGATGTTTCAAAACACCAAAGAGAGGTCTTAGGGAGGACTTCACTTTTTGTATCTTTCGGTAGTGAAGGGTCTCGAGGTAATTGATCTTTGCTGGTTCTGCGATAGCAGTTTAAAATACAGGTAGTTGTACTCTTGAGCTAATGATAACTTCCTGGACTAATTCAGCTCTTTGCTTAAATGTCATCTGTGAAGTGTGATCTGACTCATCTTGTAAGTATCATTCTACAGCTAGTCTAACATGACTGTTTTTGTTTATAAATGTGATGGGCTTTAATACAAATGTCCTCTGTCACATAATCTCTAACAACACACTCAGTGATGGCCTGAAAGGGGACAAACCTGGGTTACACAGCTTTCTAAGCTCAGGTTTGTGCTTTACATTCCTTCTGTGGTAAAGCCCCAAATCCTTGTCTAAAGAAGATTCAACTTGTTGAGCAAAGCATCAGGGACAATGCAGTTAATTCCAGGGAGGAAGTAAAGATGGCAGTGCTGCTTTATCTAGATCCTCTGAGTTTATTATTTTACTTGTCAGGACTGAACAACAGGATGCACCCTTTGTTATCTCTTAAAGCTACAATGTGCACACTGTTTCCATGAAGGCATTTTCAGAGACAATATCCTGTGCAGTTTGTCTGACACGTAGGTCGACTGTAATAAAAAGTAACAATAATAATAAGTTTACACTGATCATAATCTACCTCTTTGCAACTAAGGGCACAGTGAGGGTAAAAGCAATTGGTACTTAAATTTGTCGTATAATAGAAAATTCATTCTTGGTATAATTTCCTTTTCATTTTAAGGGTGGATGACTTCAACTATCCAATTTTCAGTATTTATTAAAATGCTGACATTTACATAAATAGTGTCACTGTAACCTAAGTTAATTTGTTAGATATTATAGTCCAAGGCGGAAAGTCAAATCAAAGTCAAGTTACACTTTATTTATATAACATTTTTAAAACAACCACAGTTGACCATAGTGCTGAACAGGCTTAAAATACAAAAAGAAAAGAAAATCAATATAGATAAAAACAGAATAAATACAAACTGCAATAAAACATTTAACCATAAATATGATAATAATTGAGCAGTTCTGATATGAATAGGTTAACAGCTCCAGAGATGAGGGGAAGCCCCTGCTAAAACCCTATCTCCTCTGTTTTTGAGTCTAGAGCTCAGGGCATCCAGAAACATCCAGAAGTTGTTCGACCTCAGTTCTCGAACCACCTACAATGTTCACCTCCAATGACAAAATCAAATTTATCAATATATCTATAGAGTTTTCAGTCCTGAGAAAATATACAGTGGAGTTTCGAGGGTTGCTCATTTTAAAGCACATGGCATCGCATTAGTGTGTGTATGAATCTGTTGTCATTTTCACTCTTCCACCTTTTAGAGAATCTCCTATGAATAATTGTTGTGTGCTGAGTGAAATTCAAGGACTCCGATCCACACATAAAAGCATGCAGTCAGACTTTGATCATGATGTCTTGTGATCATCACACTAATTTGACCACAAGTTGATGATGACGATTTTGAGTTGTGGGATTTTCACAGTTTCTAGTGTGTAGTGACATTGTTTACAAGTCCTGAGTAAAGTCTTGCCGGCTGACCACAGGATGTTTCACATCTGCATTTATTGTTCCGCTCTCATTTCCAGCCTAACTCTTACTGGCTCTGGTCTCCAGGGCTGTTCCAAAGGCTTGGTTGAATGGATGAATAATTAATCTCTCT